TGTGTTTTTCTGTTCATTAATTAGCTAACATTATGTGACTCTAGGAAGGTGTAATTTTAGGGACTAATCTAGACTCCTCTGAGCCCCCCCCCTCAAAAAAAAAAAGGAGTAATTTTCACCATTTCAGCTTGTGTCTGCAATTAACAGGTATCCCATCCAATGAGAAACAATTTCATCCGTTTTTTGGCTGGCCAATGGGTAATCTCCCATCCTTCAATGAAAAGGGGACTATTAGACTTTTTCCTTGTAATAATGTAGCAGAAAAAAGCAAAGAATACTTTTGAGATGCCTGAATGCTAAGACACATCATGCGCATCTGGGAAGATTTTCCTTGTTCAATACAATTATGCTGTGGCACTGCTTCTGGACATTAATTTTGACTTTCTTTTAACCTGGAACTGCTAAGTTTTAAAATAAATTTTGAAAAGACAGCCTGTCTTATGTCTTCCATCCCAAAAGTATGGCAACCTTACAAAGTTAACTCTAACTGAGTATCTATATTTTGTCTTGTCAAAAACAAAATAACTTAGGAAACTGAAAATTAGACACATAAGAGAATCTAATATATCCAGAGTACTATGTGACTGCATGAATTACTAAACACTGTCAGAAGAAGAAACACAGATGCTACACAGTAGAAATATGGCAGCATATTCTATCATTCTAAGTGATGTTGTAGAACATATTTTGGAGACATATAAAATTAAATCAGCAGAACTTCGACTATTAAATAGTACAAGTAGTTGATATCCAAGATTAACCTTAGAGAAACTCAAAAGAAATTGCGTCATGCATGAAATTTTAACAAATGAAATGGTTGACATATATTGTATAGAAAAGGGGTGGCCAACAAGTCAATCGTGAGGCTAATTTTGGTCAATCATTGATCACTTGCAATGACTGGAGTGGAATTCCGTATACAATGGACTTTGAAGCGATTGTAGAAGACAAAACCTTTTAGTAATAGTATAATGCATTCTGGGAATTTGCCAAGGCCATAAATTCCTAGAATTCTGACAGCCTGACACTCTGATCCCCACCTATCCAGCACAACACATTTTGACTAATGTTTTACACTTTGTCACCAGATGCAATGCATGAATGCAACTTTAAGGCTCATCGAAGAACACAGTCAATTAGCTCTAATATTTGGTAGTGTCATATGGTAGCTTCTTTTCTTTTGTATTAACAGTATTATTATTAATCAATATTATTTATCCTCAGTAATCATTTGGGTTTCAATTTTTCTTCTGTTTAAAATGTAAGTACCTATTCTGTTTTTTAAATCAAATTGCTTTTCTTACATAACTATTTACTTGATAAGTGAGCATTCTTGGCAACAGATCTCTAAACTGTAGTTATTACACTGAGATAAAAATAAGGGAAAGTATTTCAAATATATTTAGGAATAATAATAATTCTATTTAAATTAATATTTGAGTATTTAAACCATAATAAATATATTGTAACTTAATAATAATACTGAATATGCTACATATTTCTTGTAAATTTGAATATATCTTTATAAGGTTTTAATACGCTTGTTTCTTGTGTCCGATCGTCATATGCAGTATTGTTATCATTTCTCCGAATGTAATGGAGATAATAGCCACAGTTCATGAGTTTTTAATTTCCTTGAAAAATATTTAATTCAATATTTATTCTTTAAATAGTCATATTGCTTTGCATTCTAGTATAACCATGAACATGAGTAGTAAATTGAAGAAATCGAAAACTTACCACTTCAATAAAGAATGGGAACCCGATTACTTTTTTACAATGTTGAATGATAAATATAGTTGTTTAATATGCCTTATCTCAGTAGCCATTGCTAAAAAGAGTAATCCAGAGAGACATTTTTTAGCTTTACATAACAAGTATCAAGCAAATTATCCACCAAATTCTGAACTGAGAAAAGTTAGGGATCTTAAAACTCAATTAACAAAACAAAAAGTGTTTTTTAAAAGCCAAGTTGAAGCCACAAGCAGTAACTTTTGCATCATTCAAAGTATTTTAGAAAAAAAAAAAAAAAAAATTGTAAGCCATTTTCTGATGGTGAATTTGTAAAGGAAATTTCTCTTAGAAATGTAATGTTATGAAATTTGTAAAGGATTTTAAGAACACACTTTTTAACGATTTTAAGAACAAGATAGAAATTATAGCTGCAATTCAAGATGTACTTGTTGTCTTGAAACACAGTGATGTGACGAATTGAAAAGATGAATGGGAATGTAAAAGAACAGTTATATAATGATACTAATAGATGTTCTTGTTTTTCCCTTCAGTGTGATGAATCGACAGATATAAGTGATACGGCACAATTACTTGTTTTTGTTCGTATGGTTTTTAAGGATTTTACATCTAAAGAAGAATTGTTGGATATGATTTCTTTGAAGGAAAGGACTAGAGGAGTAGACATATTCAAAGCCTTTAAAAACTTGCTGAATGATTTGAAAGTACCACTTTTTAAATTAGTCTCAATACCAACGAATTGCACAGTTGCAATGATAGGTAGCATAAATGAATTTATAGCCCTATGTCAAAAGGAAGATGAATTCCCTGCCTTTTTAAACTATCACTGCATAATTCACCAGCAAGTGTTAGCTAGCAAGACTAAACACAAAAGAGGTAATGGACATAGCATTTAAAATTGGTAATTCAATTCGAGGAAGTTATCTCAAATTCCTCAAAATTCATTCCTCTTCCAACTGCAGCTTGATGAAGGCCAACCTGAATTATTACTACATACCAAAATGTCAGATGGCTAAGCAGAGGTAAATTTTTGCAGCGATTTCGTGATTTATTGCCTAAAATTATAGATTTTCTTCACGAACTAGGTGGAAACTGTGAAAATTTAAAATGATGAAACTTGGCTTAGTGACATAGCATTTCTTACTGATTTTACTTCAATATTTCATTTCATTTTCATACAGTCATTTAAATTTAGAATTACATGGTAAAAATAAAACAGTAATTGATATGATCAGCTGCATAGACGCATATAAAACAAAATTTATTTTGCTAATAGAAGAACTGCAACAAAATTCATTTTCCAAATATGGTGGATAACCTATAAAAACATAAAAATATTAATTATAAGATTGATAAATGGAAATCCAAAGATTAATTGAAGATTTTGAGATGAGATTCTAGGATTTTGAAAAAATTAAAGAAATTTTGGAATTCATATCTTTTCCTTTAAAAAAAGATTTAAGTGTGAAACGCATTAGCCAAAAAATTTCAGACATATTTTATATGGATCAAAAGGCATTAGAAAATGAAATTATAATTTTACAAACTGACTTAACCTTAAAAGCAGAAAAATATATGTCAACCGAGATAAATATCCCAATATCATCAAATGTAGCAAACATATCTATTCTTGTTTTGGATCTGCATATCTATATGAATTGGCATTTTCATACTTGAAACTAACGAAGACTAAACAACGTTTCGTCCTGACTGATTCACAGAAATTGTTACTGAAGACTCATTATTATTATCTTTGTCAGGATATACACCTAATTATGATTCCTTGGTTATCAAGGCAACAAAGTAAATTCCAAATCTGTCTTTATCTGTAGCTACTTTGAATTAATAAATATTATTAATAATTACCAGGTTCTTTTTTTGACATGAGTTTTTCGGATCTTTAAATAATTATTGTTGTTGTTGTTTTACGTAAGTAGATAAACCTTATATCTATGCTTCAATACGAGGTATGCTCAGCGATTTGCTGATAGATTAGCAAAAAGTAATCCATGTTATTTTCTGCTATAAATTCTCCTGGCCCCCAAAAATGCAAAAGTGAAATACTGAAATCAAATTATCAGCCATACCAAATTATCAGCCATACTTTGCCTTTTATAGCAACTTTTTCATATTAACGAACAATTAGTACAACTTATACATGGCAGTAGGAAAAAAAAAAAAATGCATTTAAGTTAGTAAAAATCTATCTTGAAAAAGTGTAAAAAAACCGAATTTTTTAGGCACTGCATGTACGGAATGCTGCTATTAGAAGTTGGATCTGGAAATTTATTTTCTTCATGAGCATATACCTCAAAAATTTAATAAGTGATTTAAAAAATAGTTTTGAACATATATTTTACTTACCTTTTAGACTACACCTATGACAACAAGTCGATCTCAACAAACTTTTAAGATAAAAAGTAGATCTTATATACAAAAAGGTTGGCCCCCCTTGGTATAGACAACAGGGAATTATCAAAAATTACAATAGAAACTGTTGGAAGAAATTCTAGCCATAGCATTAGCAGATTTAGATACAAGTCTTCAGATAATATTATATTACTACAGATTAATAATTTAAATTTCATTACATAGGAATGCTTTAAAGACACTAGTGCATTGGGGAGCTAGTGAAGATGCCAAGCAAAGGCACAAGTTTTCTGTTGCCTTTTATAATGGCCATCTTTAACTGTTGGCCCAGTGTATGAGTTAGCTTTCTGTGGCCTTTGATTTTCTGATATAGGTTGCTCTGTACGTAAAATGACCAATTAGTAGAGATTACACTATATTAGGTCAGCACAGAACATTCTTATGAAGTTTTACTTATACATGAATTCTGTGAATTTTCTAGAAAGGCTCATGTGTTATTTAAAAAGCTTTATATCAATATATTTGTAACAAATTCTTTTTAAGCATATGAATGATTTATTCAAAACCTGAAGCACTTGCTGTGTTATGGCTTAACGACAGATGCAAACAAAGGTAACTAAATTAATAAATGCAAAGAATAATATTTTTTTAATAATATTTTCCTGTGAGATAGAAGTCTTTTTTTTTTTTTTTCCCCTGTTGTTGTTGTTGTTTTTTCCCTTGAAAAGACATGTACGTTTTTGAAACACTGACAATTTACAAATCAAAACATTTAGCAAATTAATTCAAAAGAAGTATTTTGCTTATAATGATTTCAATCCGAAACACATAGCATTTACCAGAAAGAAAAAATAGGCAATAAATGAATAATAATTTACTTTTTATATTTAAATTTCCTGAACTTGCTTTTAAGCCATGCTCATTCCTTAGTTCACAGGTATATATACCAACATCAGCTGCTGTTGCTTTTTCAATCACTAAAGAATAGGCATTGGCTCCTTCTTCGATCATTTTAATATGTTTTCCATCAACAGACAACTCCTTACCATCTTTAGACCTAAAAAAAAATTAATGGATAAAAAAAGAGACATATTTCAAGTATGCAGTTTCATTATTAAAGATATATATCTTTGAACAAAAAATTATTAAAGTAACACTTTAAATTTTAAATAATGAATTTTCAAAACTACTTAAAAAATTACTGTAAAAATTAAAAAAAGTATGCTTGCTTCTCACATAATAATTCAAAAGAGAACATTTATACTGAGTTAAAAACTTTTAAAATGTTGCTTTAACTATAGCAAGTTTTTTAAAAATTTTTAATATATAGTAAAAATGCTTTGCTTGATTTATTTTACATCAATTACTGAAATCTACCTACATCAACACATAATGAGATATTTATATGCATTCAATTGTAATACATAAAAGATAAAAGCACAGTTTCGGATTATTCTGCACATCATAAAAGTTCTACAGAAAAAAAAAAAAGTGTATGTTAAGAAAGACAAAAGCATAAAATGTTTACAATGCATTCAGAACATTAATTAAGAAAATAATACAATCAAATCTTGTTATAAAGTCATCCCACTTATAACATCAAATTTCTAAAACCGTAGCTATATGTAAGCACTTAGAGGCTCATCCATTTCTTAATCATTCATTCTATTTACAAACCCAGGCTATATCTGATAAGATATGAAATATTTTTAGGAAGTTTTTCTAGTGAATGAAACTTCTGTTACTCTCTTGTTAATTTTTCTCAGCATACCATTGATCAATTTTTTACCATCCACCTGGTGCATCATTTCTTACAATACAGGCAATAAAGAAAAGGATGACAAGTGTAATTTTAAAATCATTTTGTAGAATATGAGCTTTTGAAACTGGTTTTAAAAGAATGTAACATAGTGAATGAATATAAACTTAATTCCAGTTTTTCAGCAGGTTGTGGAAAATTATTTTTTATCAATCAGAAAAATTTCAATTTTAGGAATAAAAAAATCTACTAAGTTATTAGAAAGAAAAAAAAAAAAAGAGAGAGAACTCAGCCAAAGCAGTTTTTACAAAATCTTGCATAATTCAAAGACATTTTTAATAAAATTTTATTACAGAATCTTTGACTGCAGATGCTAACAGAAAGAAAAAAAAATGCAGTGAGCTTCATCATTTGAAAATACAGAAAAGGCATTTTTGGCTCAATAAAATGAGCAATCAGTTTTCCCTGCCATTTTGTCCCTATGTTTGAATTATTTTTGCTGCATTATTTTTTTTCTGTGATGTATTTTATTAATACGGCAGCAAATGTGGATTTCAGTAAAACAGATTGTAAATATTTGCTAGGAAGTCATGAATTTGATAGTGACTCTGATATAGATTTATCTAATTATGAAACTGACAACAAAGAAATTGCCTGTAATATGGGCAAATGGAAAATAGTTAAGTAAGTGATCCTTTTGTTGATGAATGGAAGATTTCATTAGTTATGAAAGATCACTATTACATTCTTCATCTTGCAGTAGTATGATGAAAATATATCAGCTTTAGAATGTTTTGAAAGTTTTGTTCCATTAAACGTGAAAAATTTATGCATGTGGACATATGAAATGCAAGTATTTATTTCATTGAAAAAGGTTATTATACAATGAAAGTATATGTACTTTTAGATGTATATGAAAGTATACCAATTTTAGAAGTCATTGTATCTAAAATGTATGTATTTATAAGCTTAGTGCTAATGACCAGAAATATTCATTATCCTACTATTCCATCATACTTTTGTACAAATTTTCTGTACGGCGATCCAAGAGTATTTTTGCTGAAAATGAACAGCAGAAATAGGTTTTATTTAGTTCCAAAATTCCTACGCCTTTTCTGAACTGAAGTGTGGTGAAAAGTCTAAAAGTTTATAATGTTTTTATTTATTAACTCTTTTTTTTTTTATTTTGTTACACTAACTCAGGAAATCACTACAATTCTAATAGATAATGGTGACATGTGTGCTTTTTGAATGAATAATTATCACTCTTCAGGCTTAATTTCAAACACTATATTAAAGTAAAAGAGAACACTGAAAATGTTTTGCCTTTATTTCTCTGATCGAACACTTTGTAGATATACTTATAATTTTGCACTGTATATTGGCAAAGACATTTATGACATTTCCCACATTCTTGGAACTGTTGACTTGACTATGTCTGAAAGAAAGTTTTTTTTTTTTTTTTTTTTTTTTTTTAAAGCTACAGATAGATTAAATGAATGTTATAAGTGCATTTACTTCAAATACATTAGATGAAGGAAGTAATCCCCGGCAACTGGTATCTTTTTGCACATTTTACACAATTCTTGTTTGTTAAGAATACCTTAAAATAGTAATAATACAACTAAACCACAATATTCTAAAAAAAACTTACAGAAACAGAACTCTCCAAGCATCAATCTTGTTTTGCGAGAAAGGGTGACATATTATAGGTGAGATTTTGAGATTGATGAGATTTGAGATTTGAGATTTTGAGATTGATGTGTTTATGTACAAAAATCAACACAAATCGCTTCTTTGTAGCAATACAATATTCACAATAAATGTTCAAAATTGCAACTACCAGCAGTAATACATGCTTGGTAACTTCACAGAAGGGATTGATGAACATTTTGAAAAACGACAGGCATTTCGTGCACACTTGCAGCCGCAATGGATAGTCGTGCAACGAAGTCTTTCAGTGGATCAATGGGAGTCTCGTAAATGATCCTCTTCAGATGGCTCCATAAACAAAAAACCCAAGCTGGATAAATCTGGGGAATGGGGTGGCCATTGAACAGGTCCACCACGGCCAATCCATCAGACTGGAATGTCCCATCCAAATAATTGCAGACCCGTACATGGTTATGGGCTGCTGCACCATCATGCTGGAACCACATACGATCACTAACGACAGCCTGAACATAACCCTGAGATTCCGGTAGCATCTCTTGCAAAAATATGATAACATAAGCCATTTGTACAAGCAGGTAAGAGGTATGGGCCTATGAGATAATTGTTAACAATGCCCGGCCACACATTCACAAAGAAGCGTGTTTGGAATGCATGTGGACGTGTGCTGTGTGGATTATGAGTTGCCCACACGTGCATGTTGTTGCTATATTGAAGTTGCCATCCTGCGAGAAAAATTCTTTGTCCGTGAATAGCACATACAATGCAAAATCCGCCAGCGACGCACACTGCTGCAAGAACCAATGACAGAAATGGACTTGAAGAGGGTAATCTATCTCTTGCAAGGCTTGGACTCTGTGCAAATTGTATAGGTGCAAACCATTTTCATGCAATACCCGCCAAACGGTGGAATGACTCAGCTGCAGACGACGTGCAATAGCTCTTGTACTTGAGGTGATTCATGCACACTGTCCAAGATGGATTCTTCAACGTGAGGTTGTCGTGCACTTCTTCTTCCACTCCTAGTGTCAGAGATGGCTTCAAATGACCACTTTTCACACAGAGACTGATGCAGTCTCTTGAACATTGTGTGCTTCAGCATACGCCTGTTCGGAAACCGTTCCTGGTACAACCGTAGCGCTGCTCTGCCGTTCCCATTAGCAGCACCATACATGAGATGCATGTCAGCTTTTTCCCTGTGCATAAACTCACCAATCACGCTCAACATCAGCGTTGTGAATGATCCTCTGATGCATCGGATCATGGTTTGTTCGGCTCACTACCGCCCTCTACCACTGCACTGCCAGCCAATCACAGCTGTAGTTCCTATTACTGTTCCCTTTTTTGAACATATATTGTGAATACTGTATTGCTTCAAAGAAGCACTTTGCGTTGATTTTGTACATAAACACATTTTCCTCTCGTGTCTTTTTTTGCGTTCCTGCCTTAACCCATCACTTTAGACTCTACATTTCTATAAAAAATGCATGTTTTAATACGCTCCACCCCCCGTTCAAGTTTGTCCCATGATCTATGAAACACCCTGTATATATATACACCTATGTTGCACTCCTGAATGATGCACAGTTTTTAAATGCTACCTTCACAGAGAGAGAGCTCAACATGTTAATTTTGGACTCCTGGTTGTGTTTTGGTAAGATATTTATACTTCACGAAACTTTGGAACGTAATGATCTACATCATTCTCCAAAAAATCCACTAATCAGATTTCTTGAGCCTGGATAAAACTGTCCAAGCCTCCTTTTCTATCGCTTCCCAGTTGCTGGGATGCAAAAGCAATTGGTTTAAAATGCCCTCCTGCATCTTTTTGAATTAAACAACAGCCACCTATGACATCTGATGCACCCGAATGCAACTGAAATCAGGCACAGCCAAAGATGTCGCCTGATACAGAATATCTTTCAGTTTCTTGAAAGTCGTTGGTTCCACCGCACAATATTTGGTGCATTCTTTTTCGTAAAATCTGTTAAAGGTCCCGCTATCTATGCATAGTCCGAGATATATGCATGATAAAATCCCATGAGACACAATACTGAATGGACTGCCTTTTTATTTATTGGCCGTTCTAGCTGTTTAATTGTGACAATCTTACTAGGATCTGGGCCATGCTTGCTGTTCCCTACCTTATGACCTAAGGAATTTATTTCCTTATTTACAAAGTCACACTTACTGAACCTGACAGAAAAGCTTAAATTTTGCAGCTCCTTAAAGATCATTTCTAAACGCTTCAGGTGTTCTTCTTCAGGTGTTCTAATGATAACATTAGGGGTTCCTGTCCTGGAGAAAATCTGCAGCTATGTATCACAGATAGTTTTTGCCGTCAGATTGCTTAATGGCATTGCCTCTGCCCACCTAGTATGCTGATTTACCAAGCACAAAATATATTTATGCCCTTTCGAATTTGGTGATTTCTTAGGTCCGATTAGGTCTACATTGACAATCTGAAAAGGTAATCTTGGTCTTGCCAATGGAGTAACTGTCATTTACTTTATAACTGCCTTAATTAACTGACAGCTTTCACATATTTAACAAAATTTCTAGACATTTTTGTTTTACATGTCCACAATAAAAAGAATAATGAATGCTCTCTAATGTTTTTTTGATTCCCATGTATCCCCCCAAAACCGACACATGCGCAAGCTCTAGAATTTCATTTCTTTTACATTTAAGGTCTACTAATTGCTCTACACTTTGTCCTAAAATTTTGTCTCAATGAAAAAGAAAAATTTCTCTTACAAAATATTTTCCTTTATAATTTATCCAAAATAGTTACCTTTGCTTTATCCACACTTTAGATAGGTCAATCCGCTCTTGCTGCTGCTGCAAAACTCTGCTGCTTGAAATAAATTGTTTCCCTTTCTAAGTGCCCTTCTGCATCAGCAATAGCTGTGGTTTAGTTTCATATGTTCATTTCTAGAGCGAGAGTCTTTTCCAAACTGATGGAAAAATAATTCCAACCCCTTGATTTTCTTTGAACTGTTAGCAATTTTATCATTTCAATAATTTCATCTAAAGTTTTAACTTGACATTAACATTTGAGACTCATTGTTAAATCCACTGAACTTTCAGAATTTAAACCCAGGTTTTCTGCCTCAAGTCTTAACCTTTCTAATTCTATCCATGTCACCCAACCGGTATAGTGGTTAGCGTCGTTGACTGCTGTGTCAAAGGGCCCAAGTTCGAATCCTGGAGAAAGCATGGATGTTTGTAAATGTATAGTGTTGGTGCGGCATGGTGGCACTCTAAATATGCAACGAGCCGAAAAGCCTCTCATGTGATTTGGCGGAAGGGAAGAGGGGTGGGAGACTCCCTGGGGTGCTCTACATCAAAATTGGAGGCAGAACTGAGCTAAATTGCACTGTCACCTGAATGGCGCTCAAGGCTGTTGCCAATGGCAGGCGTATTCTAGTGCTCCTTGCCATAAGGATTCTTGTTGGCTTGGGCTTGATTATGTCAGACAAAGTGAGCATAAGCAACAACAACAACAATTTTATCTGTTCACATTCTCTCTGTACCTCTTCCTAGGTAAATTCCATATTTTCCCTCTCTTTGCTTTAGGAAATAACTGAAGTTAATAGCCCTTTAACTACTTCTTCATAATTCTTACTTCCAAGGAAGATATTTTTAAGCTCATCCATTTTAAAATTGATTGAGGTCTCCTCCTAACTCATTGGCCTTCTTTCCTCTCATTAAATACGCCATAATGAAATACCAAAAGCAACATAACAGCAACAGAAATAAAATCTTCACAGCTAATTACTATAACATAAATATGGAAATGCAAACAGTTATTCTTAACAACTATTTTACCTACTAAACTTTTGAACAAACATAACAAATAAATCCTATGAGATTTTACACATTTCCAGAGGTCATATAAAAGAATTTTTGTCTGCCAAGTGCTATAATTTTTTTTAACAAATCTTAGTATTTAAACTCAGAATAACTTTGCATTTAATGACAAGTAATTTAAGAGCAAATCGTGTATTTTTCTACCTTTGCTTTAAATCTTGCCATTTTTACCAATAAAGAAACAAAAAAATCTCTTCATCTAATCTGACAGAGAAAAAAAAAACTCATCTATGCAATCATTCCCATCCACCCCACTTCTGACACCATTGTCTATGGATCTAGAGTCTTTTTTTATATATTTCTTGGGAAGATCACAACATGGAATGAACTCTTGTTTTCCTGAGATGAGCCGTCGCAGGTTATGTAGATTCACTTGTTAATCCTTGGTCTATTCAGGCATTAGAATGGAAACTCCACAAATCTAAACTTTTGGATAACTATTTCAGTATTTTATCTAAAATAAACTATCATCTTGTGATAAGTTGATTTCTTCCAAAATTCACTGCTCAGATCTCCAAAGCAATTTCATCTCTCTGTTTTTTTTTTTTTTTTTTTTTTTTTTTCAATGCTTGCTTTTTCAAAATTATATATTACATGAGATCACTGGCTCTTTAGTTACTTGGGAAATTATTTCTGAATATAATATATACAAGACTTGCACTTTAAAGAATATTGCACATTGTAAATTCTTTCCCCCTTCCCATCAGGGCTATGGGCATTGCACAAAGCTAAAAAACTTGAGTGAATGCAACAAATTTGGAAAGAAATATTCGATATTTTGATAAGCATTTTGCATAAGAATTTTTTTTCAATGAAAACTTTCTCTTCAAGCAGTTAATTGTGATTTAATGTGCACATACCAATTACAAAATAAACTGAAATTATTTTCTTCTATCAAGTGTTCCAAGTGCTTTACAACCTGCAGAAAAAGCGATGATTCAAAAAGACATTTATTGAAAGCTGCTCTAAATCTGGTGTTTAAAAACTTCACAACAGTAGACAAAAGAAAATTGAAATTTCATTTTTACATCTTTGATGCTATATTCTACTTTGATAAAAACTATAACTTGAGTCTGTATAATGTGAATTAGACAAATAAATTTTCTTTATGCTATGATTATAGATTCTTCACAAGTTTAAGGGGAAAAAAAAAAAAAAAAAGATGTACTTTCTAAATTGGCTTAACATTTTCAGAGGAGATACTATTGCAATCTGTATAAAATAGAATATTTTGCTTCAGGTATGTTCTTCAGGTATGTACATTTGATCTGTTAACCATTGTGATTCATACAGTAGGATTTTGGAATTTGTTAGACAGTGAGTGAAGATAGGATTTGATAATGACAGTGAAGATGACAATCTCAGAATGTGATAGTATCTAACACTCTGCATTAGATAATTTAGACATTTTAAGAATATTTTCAAAGATGATACCCAATGTTAGTGCAAAACATTTTGAAACTAAAAATAATTGAAAGAAATACAATCATGTGTTATTAATTTCTTTAAATAATGATTTAAAATTTTTAATTTCCTTTAAATTTTTATGCTGTGCTACAAAACTAAATAATTTTTTAACTGATTATCAATATTTAAATACACTGATTGGTACTTTTCTGTTTCACCGGCGCAAATCACGCCAAGCAAACTTTATTGGCGACAACATACAGTATACACATAAAAAATGTTAACAAATGTTAGTTTTAAGAATTTTTTATTTTGAAGGCATAAACATTTTAATATCATTTAAAATTTTGTAAAAAGCCAATAAATAAAGACAAATTTTTAAAAAGACATTAATTTAAGAAATTATTATGCCTTTATGGATCAACAAGCTGATTCGCCGGTTCATATTATGTGACCCCAAGTGATTTCATCGCACGTAAACTATGCTACAAAAATATAATTCTCTCAATAATTATCTACATTAATGTCAAGTTAAATCTTAATTTGGAATACAAGTTTAAATGCAAGAATTATTTCAATTCGTAAGAATAGCTTACTCAGAAGTTATGTAAAACCGCAGTGCTTTATTTCGCTAGTCTCATTAGAATTGATAAATTTAACCCTTGACTTTGCCTTTTCTGTATTTTCGCCTTCGGGTGAGCCGTGTGATTGCATTCCAATTGGCTTAATTACTGCGAATGGACTTTGGGCATAAAATTGTACTATCTGGTAAAAATTCTATATAATTGTATGATAGTATTGAAAGAACCAATCAATCTGATAAGAAATGGCTGTGACTTGTTTTGAAAATGAGGCATAAAAGGTTACCAGCAAGGATATTCCGTTTGGCATTAGTTCTACCATTATTGGCGACTTTATCGCCTGTGCTGGCAAAATGGAAAAGTACCCACTGATTATATGAAATGATATGTTAAATGTTTAAAACAACATATTAAATCTCAGTCCTTATTTCAAAACACTAGCTTTTCATCTCTGTATTAACACATAAATTTACAATTACACTAATCTATGATCTTCATTACATTAAAATTACATTCTTACTAAGTCTTTCCTAATTAATATGTCATCCTGCTAATGGTATCACTTTTCAATTTTCCTAGGGGCGATCTTATAATAAAAATTGACTGTAACTTCTAAATTTTCCACTATTCTTTAATTACAAAAATAATTTAACTAAGCGTGATAATTTTGTCATATAACATACTTTCAGATCAATATAGATACTTTTGTACTATCCAATCACACAAGGAAGTTGGCACCCTTATGAGTTTGAATCAATCACTGCAGCAGCAAATGTTTTTATAGCTATTAACAATTAAAGCACTTAACTCTTCTAATTAATAGGTTTTTCAAGAATAAGAGACAGTTACACTTTTAATCTTCAATATTTTCCCTAATGGCTTCCAAAAGAGTACCCACTTTTCCATTTGAAAAACTTATTGATATAGTCTCTTTGGATCTTGTGTGGTTAAACTCTTGTTGGCCTTCTCATAATCCACCAAACTAGCATTGTCTCACATACATTCTTCATGGCTGATTTTTATGATTTGTGAAAAGTCTTTTATCACTTCCCTATTCTGTTAGACACTTTATGAACAAATAACATTGATTGACCTAATGCCTTTATATTGCATCACAATTGCTTTTCAATGCTCAGGTAAAGTGTTATTATACTCATTTAGCACACAGATTTTTTTGATGGCCCAATTCCATAACTTTGGAAATATTCCTCTGCATATAGTTCTACAGAAGGCAGGCCTAAAACAAATGATGAAAAATAGAAAGTGCACAAGACTACTCAAACAGCGCACAAGAGAAAGAATAATATTTAATTTAAGAGCTACATGTATCTAAAAATTTGTATAAGAATCATTTAGAATAATGTTTAGTGTAAACTTGCTGGAATGTGTGCCAACTTATCTGGACGATGGGATAACACAAAAGTACCAATTTCTACATACAAAATGATACAATATTAAATCCAGTTGATAGCTATTTACAGAGAAAAGGTAATAAGTTATCAGTACCATTTTATAGTAGGCTTTGGATTTCCATTTATCTCTACATTAAATTTAAGTGTATCATTTTCAAGTCCTTCTATATTTTGCATTCCTTTAGTAAAAGTAGGAGAAGCTATAAAGAGAACAGAATGAAATGATCCAATTATAGATGAATAAATAAGCATTGCAAATTATATACCTGAACTTATCAATAAAGGTTATCAATAAAAGTAACTTTTATTGAACTTATCAATAAAAGTTACTTAAAAATTATTTTCAGAATTCTAGGTAAATTGATGAAACACTAAAAAGAAAAGACGATAAAAAATTTTCATTCATTTCAACTCATAAAATGGTGATAAAAACTACTTAACAACTACTATTTATGCTCTAAAGTAATCTAGTATTGACAAAAGTTAAAATATCTCATGAAGACGACAAATTTCAGAGTTATTTAAATAAAACACTCTTAAGCATTCTTAATATTTGATCCAAATAACAATCATCAAAGGATTTAAAGCAACAAGAATCAATGTAATATTCATAAATTTGCAAGACTAGTTTCAAAGATTTAAATATAAGCCTTCTTCTTCAGCTACAGAATTGGGAATGATGCAATCGAAGCCAGAGATAAGATAAGGTAAGGCACTAATAATGAGAAGAAGAAAGTCAAGTTACTTGCAACATGTATTGATGAAGAATGAAAACTCTGAAATAATTTCCTTAAAAGCTGAAGGTAAACATGGACAGGAATTGGGATCATTAATTACAACAGAAATTTTTTTATAAATGTAAAACATCCCTAGAAGATCTAATTCACCAATAGAAGACTTTTTTAAATAATTTTGACTGCAGAAAAATGGAAAATGTACCTTTTCTGACCAACAGTGTAGGGCTACTGAGGACGTATGGGTTTCTTTTTTCCTAATATATATCCCATGTTTCTTAGCAAAAAATTTTATGTCTCTATTGTTTTGACCAATGTAAATTAAAACCACATTGGCATGCTCTATATACTCCAGGAGTTCATATCTGGAATGGGGCCCTTATGTATGTATGGTGCGGTGTATTTAATTATGGCAAAGCACACTAGGGCTATCTGCCTAAGGGGACGGATGTCTTTGTGGAGGACTTTCTAAGGGAAACTGGCTCATATACACGTTACACATGGGAAAAACCATGAAAACACCCATGCAGCCAGCCCGTTTGCGAGATTGGACCTCGGACTGAACTACCAATGTTCAGCGACTTTACCACTCGGCCGCTGGTGGGACCCTTATGTACGGAACTGTGAATTTTATTCACAGAAGTTAAAACTACCCAAAAGTTTACTTTCTGTGAAACATATGCAGTTTTATTGCTATCGATGGATAGAAAGTAATGACAACAAAATTCTTATATTCTCTTAAAACGAGAGGATACTTTCTGATATGTTCAGATGAGAGTTTTTTAACTGGTTGATTAAAAATGTTAGGTGACAAGCCTCTGCCAATAGCAAGTGCTTTTAAGTAATTTACTTCTTGATCAAGAGCCGATCTGGAGGAGCAAATGAAATTTACAGAAAACAAAGGAATAAAATAAAGCTAACTTCTATTTAGTTGAATGACATGGATTGAAGTGTGGTGAAAGCCAAACAGATGAAGGTTTGTACTCAAGAGTAGTACTGAAGCTGGATATGTTGCACATGACCAAGATGTTAAGGAATGGAAGAAAACTTGATGTCTCAAGTTCAAAAGTTAAGTGAATATCAGGATCAATAGAAGAATTCATTACTGAAAGACTTTTATTTAAATCATTTTTACTACTGTCAAACAGGGTAAAGTTATTTAACATAATGGAACCACACAGGAAAGTTTAAAATTTCAAATAATTTTGATTCATAGTAATGCATACAAATATCAGAAGGATAGGTATAACAAGGCTTTCTTCAGTTAATCTCTCAGTTTGGTTGTAATACTTATTTTGGAAAACAAAATGCATTTGTTTCAGACAAAGTTGGGTAAGGGAAATTAACCAATTAATTAAGATACAAAAGAAATGAAATTCTCAAATTCTAGTTTCTAGCCATTTAAGTGGAGTTTCCACTGAAACATTGTTGAATAATGATTTTATGTGCAGGAGGGGATGATGAAATTTCTAGGAAAATGCTTCAACTTTTTTTTTTTTTTAAATAAAAGTCTATTGAATTTTTTATGTATAAGATCTGTTAACTAAGAAATTCAGAAATCTAGAAAGTAAATATTTAACTAAAGGATACAAGACAGTGCCTAAATTTGATAGAATAGGGTGGAATGGAATATCACTTCTGCAAATCTGGGGAAAAGCATATAATCTGGCACAATTCGCAACTGATGGGATAAGAAATTTTTTTGAATGAATCAGAAAGATTTGTGAAGATTTAATTGCATTTTTAATTTTTGAGAGGTCCAACGTTGTGGAGTCTCTAAGGGTCAGTTTAGATGGGCATTCATTTAAGTTTCCATCACTGGGAGTGTTTTTGTCCATTATAACTCTTTGGTCACTTTTGAAATAATAATGTTTGGGTTAGAATTAATTTAATGTAAAGTAGGTTTTTTTTCCCATATTTAGATTAGGTTTGAAAGCTTTACTGTTAAATTTCACATTATGGATGATAAGATATTTAATCATTTCTTTCTGTGTATCAGAAACTTTACTGAACTGAAAACTTTTCTGATGATGTGAACTATTTGGAATTGAAGGTTTCGAGACTTGTGAGAAGTTAACATTACATTTCAGAATTCTCTTTTGTTCCTTTGATAAACTAACATTAGAAACTATTGGAGAAGTCAAACACCAAAAATCAGTGTAATACAGTCAAAAGTCGTTAATCCGGACTCGTCGGGACTTCGGCGATTCCTGATTATCGATTTTTCCGGATTACAGATCATGGGTTTAAATCTGGTAGGATGGCATGCAGAAATTATGAAATTAAAAATATGAAACTGTAATTTATGAAATAAAGAACAATTATGATCTAAAGGGTATCAAAATTTACAAAAAAAAAAAAAAGCTTAATATTTATTTGTTTACTTTATTAAACATTTCTTTCAATGTAAATTGTTTAAGTTGCTTCGTTTTATGTGATAATACTTTCTCTTTAATTCTATAAACAGACATAATTTCTTGTTCAGTTACAAAGTTCCGCTGTTCAAGTCCTATAATTGCTGTGTCGAAAATACCGACTAATTTGTCAATTGAAATGTTTTCGTTTTCAATAACCTCTGGGTCACTTTCTTCACTATCGGAAGCGAATTATAATGATGAGGAATTTTATTTAAATCATATCAAAGACGGAGTACATCAAGATGAAATACTACATTTAGTAAGGAATTATAAGCCAAATAAAATAAAAACATCTGCCCTGAAGATAAGGATAGTACCGACAGATCAACTTCCAATTCATTGCACACAGCGGCGTCCCCCCCCCCCCCCCCGCAGAGCAGCGTGAAATTGATAAACAGATTTCGGAATGGTTAGAGAGAAACAAAGGATATGCATTTATCCATTTTTTGCAGCAATTTCACTTTTTGTTTAATTTACTTCAAAACATACTTTCGCTTTGTACATCCTTTACATATTAGTAAATATATATCGGAAATTCTATTTGACATAATCGAAAGTTCAAGCTTACTTTTATAAAACTGCTGTAACAGTCTGCAAATAATAAGCCGGATCCAATTCGAAGATTAAGGAACAACGCAATCTGCAACATTAACTGAATTAGATAATTTTAGCTTAGCTTATACCGTCCGTTATACGTTAAACGCGCATGCATAAATGTATTATGTGCATGCACACATGCATATTTCGCAGCCGTAAAGGTCTTACGCGCATGCGTCGCGCAGAAAGTTTGTAGCTTTGAGGTCCGGATTATGGGTGTCCGAATGAATGACGTTTGACTGTATTTGTAAATTTAGAAGTATTACACCAATTCCTGTTGTTTGACTTCTCCTATAATCATTATTCAGCATGTTATTTTAACCTAATAATAATTGGTTTGGTGTTTACAATCAGAAGATTTTTTTTTTGAAATGTTTAAATTAGACTGTGAACAGAGACTTTGGAATTTAAATGCAAGGTTCTTTTTATGATGTTTAATTGAATTCTCAGTTCTAGACCATGATTTTTATTTAATGGCAGAGAATTCTTGACATGAATTAGCCAATTCCGGATCTTATAGCTCAATTTCAATTTGATAACTGTCGACATGTGCTTATGACGGACTGAAGCAAGGCTAGTTTGCAATTTAGGAGAATTTTTTAAATGTGATAGAAAGTTTTTGATTATATTAAATATGAATGAAATTAGGAATCATTTGCTTATGTTTATACTTTAGTAAAGAGTTAAAGTGATTTAGAAATTTCTGTCGTTTGAGGAATAATTTTGTGAAACGATTAATGATTGAAGGCATGGTAAAAAATAAAGACTTAAAGTCAGAATTAAAAACCAGTTATTATTTCTAATTTTAGTTTATCAAAAGAATAAAAGAGAATTCTTAAATATAATTTTAGCTTCTCACGAACCTCAAAACCTTTGATTCCAAAAATTTTAGCTACTATCAAAAAACTTTCAAATTCAGGTAAAGTTTCAGGCACACAGAAATGATTAAGCACCTTATCGCCCATAATGTGAAATTTAATAGTAAACCTTTGAACCTTAATCTAAATGGGGGATAAAAGGTTACATTATGCAAAATTCACTTTAATCTACATATTATCATTTCAAAGGCCAACAAAGGTGGCCAGAGAGTCATCACGTACAAAAACACTTGCAACAATGGAGTCACTAAACTTTTAAATAAAGATCCATATAATCTGAACTCTAAAGACCCCTCATAATGAATAAAATGAGGAATAAAAAGTGTGATTAAATCTTTATAAACTCTTCTGATTACATTAAAAAAAAATCGCTTATCACATCTCTTACAAACTGTGCCAGATAATATGCTCTTCCCCAAATTCACAAAACTGGTATCCCTATTCTGTCAAATTTAGACGCTGCCTCATAACCTTTAGTTAAATATTCAGTTTCTAGATTTTCAATTTTATGTTAGTTAATAACACTTACACCACAAAAAAATTCTATAGAGTTTATTAAAAAAAATGTAAATAGCATTTCTCCTAGAAATTTCATCATGGTTCCTTTTGATTTAAAACCATTATTTACCAATGTTCCAATTAAGGTGAAATTAAATGTTCAGAAACCAGACATCAAACACATTTTGTTTTCCAAAATAAGTACTGCAACCAATCATGGATGGTAGCCATGGGATGCCCTCTTAGTCCTATCCTTGCAGATATCTATATGCATCATTATGAATCAAAATTATTTGAAATTTAAGCTTCACTGTGTGGCCCTGCTATGTTGATGATACATTTGTCATGTATGACAGTAATAAAAATGATTTAAAGAAAGTTCTTCCAGTAATGAGTTTTTCCATTGATCCTGCTATTCAGTCCCTTTTTGAACTTGAAACATCAAATTCTCTTCTATTCCTCGACATCTTGTCATATGCAACATATCCACATCAATACTACTCTTTGCCACAAACCTTCATCTGTTCGGCTTTCACCACACTTCAAATCATGTCATTCGACTAAACAGAAGTTAGCTTCATTTTATTTCTTCGTTATCCGTGCACTTCATTCGCTCCTCCAGATCAGTTCTTAATCAAGAAAAAGTAATATGATAAGTAATAGAAACTGTTTATAAGTAATATTGTATTACTTTAGTAATTATAGAAACTGCTTATATATAAATTACTTAAAAGCAGTTGCTATTGATAGAGGCTTTTTACTTAACGTTTTTGACCAACCAGTTAAAAAATTCTCATCTGAACATATCAGAAAGCATCCTCTCGTTACAGGAAATTATAAAAATTATGTTGTACTTCTTTTCTTTCCATTAATTAGCAATAAAATTGCCTGCATTTCACAGAAAGTCATCTTCTGGGTAGTTTTCTCTTCTGTCACTAAAATTCACAGTTCCACAAAGGGCTCCATTCCAGATATGAACACCTGGAGTATATAGAGGATTCCTAGCCAATAATTTACATTGGCAAAACTAAGAGAGTCTTAAAATTTTGTGCTAAGAAATATGAGGTATATATTAAGAAAAAAGAAACACATACATCCTTAGCCGCCCAACACTGTTGATCAGAAAAAATTACATTTTCCATTTTGTAGCAGTCAAAATTATTCAAAAAAACATCTTCTGTTGACAAATTAGATTTCTAGAAATGTTTCACATTCATAAAAAATTTTCAGTTGTAGTTAATGATCCCAATTCTAATCCATCTTTACCCTCAGCTTTTAAGGTGCTTGTTTCATAGTTGCTTTCATTTTTCATTAATAAAGGGCACTAGTAACTTGTCTTCCTTTCATTCGTATTGCCTTTGCTTATCACTGCTTCTTTTTTATCATTCACTCTTCTGTAGCAGAAAAAAGTTCTATATTTAAACCTTCAAAACTATGCCTGCCAGTTTATGAATATTTTGCCAATTCCTCTTAATTTAACTTATCATCCAATAATAATTTTTAATGTGCTTCAATGAGATTCATAATTTGGCATTTTTATGCTGCTTGATTCAAGATGTTTGTAGCAAAGTAATATGACATATGTAAAACTTACAGCCATTGAATTTTGCTGTTAGAATGTGTTAGTGTAACTCTATATAAAAGAAATGTATGAAGTTACTGTATGATTTAGGGAAATTAGTTAATTATGCAGCATAGGCCAAATAAAAGAACTTTTTAACCTTTTGGCCCAATATCATATTTTTTTAAAGGAATGTTTGGCTTGTTTGATAAAAAATTTATCCAAGCTTTCCCACAATCAACCATTGCCAGATTTCTCATCTTGTGACCCAGTGATATCAAAACAGACATTCTACAAATGTTTTCCAAAATGACAGGCACACTTCAGTAAATGTCATTTCTGATGAATATTACTTCAAAGGTAATTAGGTAATATTTTTTAATATTTCAAATAGAACTATTCTACAAGCATTTTTTACAAACTTTTTAATAGAGGAGTATGTATTTTACAAGTGATGTTGAAATTAAACACAAACTATTGCATGTATTTAGTCATTACCTCATTAGCTATGAATAAATACATTAACTGTAAATAAAATATATGTATGAAACATTAACCACAAATAAGAGATAATATCATTTACTTCAGTTAAATAATTAGCATGCACCTAGCCACTGAAGGGACACTTTGATTTTCACTGCTGCCCAGAATTAAAGAAAAGACTTCAGTAAACAAACTTAATAATCAATTTCTATATAAAAAATGTAGAATCTTATCCTTTTTCTATTATTAAGCATATTTTTCCTTATAAATGTTGCATATAAAGTACTGTGTTTTATATTATCATGTATAACTTCCAGGCAGAAATGAAAATAATAATAATAATAATATCTTCAATATTACCTTTAACAACTACATTGCTAAATTCAGCCTGGCTTCCAAGATTATTTGTTAAGACACAGGAATAACTTCCTGAATCAGCTGGCTTGGCATTTATAATCTGGAGAGAAAGCTTCCCAGCTTCTTCTTTTATTTTAATTTTCTCATTAGGATTTAGTTGTTGTCCATCTTTGTACCTAGGAAATTTGAAGTGTAAAATTGTAAATCTAAGAACATAAAATTCTAAATTTATTATTAAGATTTATGGTAAATGTTCATATTATAACATACCAGACATATAAAAGTATATCAAAATATACCAGACTCCAAACACAAATAAATATCTAACAAAATAAGTTTAGTACTAGAAAATAATCTTTCTCCTCTCTATATTAACACAAGCTAAAATATATAAGTGCTAGGAGAACAGTTAATAAACATGAATTAAACTCTTTTGAGAACTGACAAACAAATGAGAAAATCTAAATGATAAAATTTTTCATGTAATGTTAAGTGCCCACTATTGTTTGATGAAGAATGAACAAAATTCTACCATTTGACTTCAGGAGCAGGATTGCCATCAACTTCAACTTCAAATTTGATTACTTCCTCAGCCATGACAGACATATCTTTCAAACCCTTGATAAAGGAAGGGGCAGCTGTTCAAATTTAAAAAAAATATATATATACATATTATATTATAAAAACTTTTATTTTTATTTATCACACAATATATGTTTGTATTAAAGGTGAATCTAAAAATCTGGAGATTAATATTTACATTTCACAGTTAAATTGCATGAGGATTCAGCTTCACCCATCTCATTAGAAGCTTTCACACTGTACTTTCCACTGTCATCTTTTTTAACATTCTTTATTACTAAAGTGAAAGTCTCTTCATCAGCAAAGAGAAAGCGGAAACGTCCTCCAGTAGATACTTCTTTGTTTTTATGGTACCTGAAGAGAAAAGCATAAACTTTAGAGTAAAAAATACAGCTAATTGAAAGAAAATCATTTAAACATAATACATATTGGCTCATTATTACTTCCTCCAAATTATGGGCTTGTTAATTAATGGCAAGCTATTTAAGAAAAATACTACTGCTAATCTAAAGTTAAAAATTTAATTTTTGTTCTTTTTAATAGGGCATACTTTATATTTATATAATTAGACAAAAATATTTCAATTATTATATCAAAGAAATAATGGCAGAGATTTGAAAAAAATATTGAAATATACAAAAAAATATAAAAAATATACAAATATTTTTATAATACAGAGGTTATATACATATTTTATATTTTAATTAGATATTCAATCCTGGGCTAACATCAAGACACATGGATAAAGTTTTATCAAAAATCCTGTAGACAGGTTGTGGGAAACTTCAGACTGCAAACAGGCCACGATTGCATGGCATATCATCTTAATAGAATTGGCATCCTTCCACCTAGAATATGCCAAATTTGCAATTCAGGCATCATGAATGCACAGTATCTTCTTACATGCCCAGAACTAGATGAAGAGTCTCAGAAACATGGTGAGGTAAGTACACTATACTGGAATGCCAGAGCTTTCATGAACTCCTTCTAAAAACTACATCTCTAATGTTCCTTTCCTTGTTTACATTTTTAACTTTTTACTTTTGTTCCCCATTTTCATTTATTCGGATTCTTACTTTATTTTTTTTTTTTTTTAAATTATCATTGTTCTTGTGTGATACTTGAGATGTTTTTTATGTTTGGATTGATCTTTCCAATAATGCCATATGTAACAATTGGATGTTCATCTTGAAATCAATCATAAACCTACTCATCTTCAAATCAATCATAAATCTATCATAAACTTCACGGAAATTTTGTGGCAATTGCTTTAAGTACAGATTTAGTTCTCTTTAGCAATTTTGTAGAAAAATACTGTATTTCTACAGAAATTTAATCTCAGTTCTTTCCTTTACAATCAAATCCTATAAATGCATATTTTAAAATGGGGTTTAAAACATAAAATATAATTTTTGTCTTTAAAAACCACTGAAACTTAGAATGCAAAACAAAAAGAACATTTATAAAATGGAAGATATTGCTTGTCAAAATGAACAGTTTTTATGCACATAGTTGCCAGAAACTTCAACTAAGATGGTTACCCTAATACAAAAGTACCAATATAGGCTTATAAGAAGTGAATAAATAATTCAGTCAAATTTTTAAATGATGAAAGTTATTTACCATGTCACCTTAGGTTTAGGATAGCCGGTAATTTTAAGTTCTAACATAGCAGACCCTCCTTCTGTAGCTTCTACATCTGACAGCTCTGCTTTAATAGAAGGAGCTTCCACTTGCCTGATAACACCTATAAATATATTGCATACAATTTAATACAATGCAGAAATATACATGAACAGGGCTGCAGTTTTGGTAATAATAATGTCTCTTTTCATAATCAAATAAATTTTTATGATTTCACATAAATATGCAACAAACAAATATTTATATACTAAAAGCAAGAATTTCTGTTAATAAAAATATTTATCCATGGTAATAGAAAGAAAAAGGAGAGGGGAAATAAATATATTAAAAAACAGAAAAAGTGTAAGAGACTTATAAAACAGATTTATTTAAAAAAAATAATATTTTATACCTCATTTATGGAACAATGTGCAACTTTGTCAATGAAAAACTAAAAATATACTATATAAAAAAAAAAAGACAATATAAGTTGGTAACAAAAGACATGGTAAACAACATAAAACTCAAGACTGCCTAATTAGATAGATTATGAACCTTTTAAAAATAACAATAACTGAACAAAAGATTTTCATTCTTTTACTAAGAATTTACAACATTATTAAAGCAAGTTTTCCATCTAAATCTAACTTTCTTAAAAGAATGAAATTCATTAATGAATTTGCTCACTAGTCTGAAAACCTTTTTAATTCAACTTTATATCCGCATTATTTTAAGTTTAGGTTTAGTTGATTATGAGAAAGCAACTAGGGCTATCTGCCTATGGGGAGGGATGCCTTTGTGGAGGATTTTCTAAAGGAACTGGCTCATATACATATTACACATGGGGAAAATCACAAGAATGCCCATGCAGCCAGCCCATTCACCCAGAACTGAACCAAACTGACCGAGCTATCTGATACAACAAAAAATGACTGATTTATCTGATATTACAAAAACCATAGTCGGAGCCATGCACAAATTGAGGAGTGAAATATTTGCTAAACCTTAACTAAAAGATTAGTTTAGAAAACGTTTTTGATGTTAGGAGATTAAGTGACAAACATTTCTGCACAGAAAATTATGAAAAGTATTGATCAATATAATTTTTTTCGAAACAGAATTTTGCAGAAAACAATAGCAGGCTTCAATATTAGAACACAATCAATTCATAATATTATTTGCATAAATTTAAAAAATGAAAAATATTTGTACTTTTATGAATTTTTACACAATTAACAGATTATGATTCTAAAATAATAAAACTTCATGAGAGTATAAGTAATGTAATTTTAGAGAGTAAAAAAATAAATTACTTGTCCAAGAATTCTTTCAACATAATAAATTTAGCAAATTATAAAAAAAAACTTTAGCAATTATAAAATTTATTAACTCTTCTGTTATTGGGACCAGATGCAGAAATGCATATATGTATGCTTGTATGGATGGATGTGTTCATGTATGCATGTATATACATATGTCTGTGTATGCACACACACACATATATATGCACATATACACACGTCCACACATACATACTTTTCTGAATGTAGTCCTGATAACAGAAGTGGTGGTGTATTTAATTATGGCAAAGCACACTAGGTATCTCTAAGGGAGGGTGCCTTCTGTGGAGACTTCTAAGCAAATGGCTCATACCACACCTGGGGAAAAAAAACACGAAACACCCAAGCAGCCAGCCCGTTGCGGGATTGAACCTCGGGACTGAACTACCAGTGTTCAGGACTTACCGCTCGGCCGTGTGGGCCCCTGATAACAGAAGAGTACTGAAATTATAAATCAGGGTTTCTTAAACTTTCTTCAGTCGTGAACCCTTTTTATCACTGAGATTTTTTTGCGACTCCCCCCAGGACCCCATAATATTTACAAAAATTTTGTGAACCCCATACGTATTGCACAAATCTGACACACGTGTGAATGAAACTATTAATTTTTTCACTTGTGCTGTAATATACTAATTCAGTTTTAGTCATTAACTTTAATTTCTAATTTTAAGACTTAGAACAATGTGAAAATTTTAAATAAGTAACAGACGAAATAACAACATCACGTGCAAAAAGCAAGGAAAATGAGCATTTATATTATAAAAAGAATGCGTCAAAAAATTGCCCTCTTTTTCTTTGTCTGTATTGTCTTATCTTTATCTATTTTCAGATATACTGTGTAAATATATTTGGTAATTGTAAAATTATTATAAGTTAAAAAAATATCAAAACTGCTAAAATTTTTGGCGACCCCCTGTTACAGGTCCCACAACCCACAGTTTAAGAAACCCTGTAATTAATTAAAGAAACTAATAAATCATGACAAAATATCATTGAATGACATCTTTGGAGGAAAAAATCATCCTCAAATTGTTGTGTTGATGGTATTTGAATCAAATTAATTACATTTCTTATTTAAGGAAAATCTGAATTTATTTAATTCTTTGATTAAGTTACAGTTTTATTATTTATAATTAAGTTAATATTTGGTTATGTAAATGATTTAATTTTGGGGAAAATCTAGTGCTTCAATGATACTTTTATTCTTTTTCTTTTATTTAAATTTAATCAAGATTTCTGAGTCCTTGCGAAGGATTAGGGAAAGACAGCAAATTTTTGCCTAGTCAGTCTCAGAGTTGACGTACTTTCATAGAACTTTCTAGAAAGAAATTGCTTTGTTTCGGTTGCCCTTTAGGACAGGAGGACGAAAGGTCAGAAGGGTTAATGTTTCACCTACAGGGTAGGTCTTTTACTTGGCGATCTAAGTGTCCGGTTTTGGCTTGCTTTTGGAATAAGCGTCGCGTGAGTAAATTGTATTATTTGGTCTTTTAGGGTGAAAAGCGAAAATTTGGCTTCAAATGAAGGGGCAAAAATCCAGTTTTGTGGCAGCCAATGTTTTTGAAAGAAATGAGGGAAAATTCGAGTACGAGATACTTTTGGGCTGACTTTTAGATTTTACACTTGGACTTCTTGCGCGGAGTGATGTAGTTGTGGTAAAGTGATGTACCGTATATACCCGCGTATAAGTCGAGATATTTTGGACAAAAAAAATACTTCAAAGTGGGAGGGTCAACTTATATGCGGAGCCATAAAAAATTAAAAGAATCGGAAGTTCAAAAATTTCTTTATATAATGCAGTTGGTTTCTTCCCGCACTCAAATTGGACAACTTATCAAATAAGTCACTCACTTGAAGTAATTTCAAGTCTTAAATTATATGACGAACTAATCACAGAGTTTCATACTTTAACTAGAGTAAGTTTCGATTAAACCAAAGAATTTTCGGCCCCCAACATTAATTGCTCAGTGGGTTAAAGATGCTTGGAACGAAATACCCTCTGAAATGATTATAAAATCATTAAAAATGTTGTATTAGCAACGAACTAGATGGCACGGAAGATGATGCTGTTTTTGAAAGTGAAAATGACGACAAAGGCTCTAGTAGTGATTGTAACAATACAGAGTTCGAGACTGAAAATATGTATGATGACGAGCCAATGGCGACAGAAGAGTTCTATGAAATGTTTGGTGAATCTGACCATGAATCGGACGTTGAAGGATTTTGATTTTGTTTATTTACCAAGGTATTTTTTATCGTATATTTACTTTTTTTCTCAGATGATTTTGAATAAATGTAGTACTTAAAAAATTTTTTCGAAGTTTCTCGATTGATTTTGAAAGTGGGGGGGTCGACTTATATGAGGGTTTCTTATTTTCTACGAATTTTTTATGCCGAAGTGGTGGGGTCGACTTATACGCGGGTATATACGGTAGTTTGTCTTGTAGCAGTGCCTACGGTGGGGAGCGGCAATTATGCTCCCCAGCCACATGTTTTTATTTTAAATTTGTGACAAAATACGATTTTGTGTGGCATTCTTCTGTATTATTGAAAGAATTTAGAATTAGAGACCTTAAGAACACACATTTAACTTTTTGCCTGGTGTCCTAAAAGGAGTATTACCAAGATTAAGTCTGGCAAATTCATGGCTGTAATTTTTGGCATGGCTACTTTTAAGTAAAATCTGAAGAGTTAACTGTTTTTGAGGTTATGGTTGCAGCGATATTCCTGAGCTTTGTCTGGATGAAGAGATCTTTTGGAGACCTTCTTCCTAGAAGTTTTGTCTTTTCTTTAAAGGAGCTTCTATTTCTGGCAATGACCGGCTGTTATGACTGGAAAAAATAAATGGTCTGTTATACTCATAGAGTGACGTTCAGATTTAATTCCAACATTGCAAGCTGATATCTTAGTAGAAGCTAAATGTGAAAAAGAGGACTTGATCAACTTCTGTTCGACTTCCGAGTCTGAGAGTCAACGTGACACATAACTTAGGCTTAGCCTAGAGTTTCAGTGATGGTGCCTGGGAATAAACTGCTCCTTTCACTTCAAGATTGTCAAGCACCAGATAAGTTCCTTTTTGTTTCCCCAGAATAGATGAGATAGAAGGAAATATTATTTACTTAGTAGACTATAATTAATTTCGAATGAGCTGTAATTACATCTTTATTCTGCATCCTTCTACTTCAAAAAATAATTTGAACTCAAAGCTCCATTTAATTAACAAGGTAAATTTTTAATTTTGAAATTGTTATTATTCAAGATGTTAAATTCTTTGCTTAATACTAAAGAAAAAAATGTGCATTGTTCTTTATACAATTTCTTTAATAGCTTTATTGTTGAATGGTAAATAAGTATGATTTATGATAATTTTACTGGTACCAAAATTTTAATTAAATTAAATATGAAAGTATAATAGGTAAATTAATGTGAAATGAGAAGACTTAATAAACATTGTAGTAATTTGAAATTTATGTTATGCTTTTATTTATTACATTTATCCTTTTGTCCAATCCTTACCTAGCACAGTCCCGGAAATTTAAAACACAATGCAGTGATTCCCATTTAATTACGATCACAGAAAAGTTGAATTAACTAGCCCTTATGAGTTTATTTTAGGTCTTGCTAGTTTAGTTAGCATAGGCTTTAATAAGTTATTTAACTTGTTCATGGCTTCACCAGATAATATTGTAAGTCTAAATAACTCACAATATTACATTGGTGCCATTTGTTAGCTACGATTTCACCTGTCAGTTCTGTGTTGGTATTTTATTCAGATAATGTCCAGAAACAGAACAAAAATATCCTAATCTATTTATTAAATTACTCCTCAATGCAAACTAAAAATGACATCAGATATCCAAAATTTGAAATTAAATACCTTGGCCAATGTTTTTGGTGTGAGAGGCAAGTATTTTGTGTTTTATTTCTGATACTCAATATAAAGCTAGCTATTTCGCTAAACATTAGATACTGGATTTTTGCTAAACATTAGATACTGGAAGAACATATAAAAAGTTTTATTTCATAATGTTTATAAAATTTATGCCTTCAAGTTTAAAAATTCCAAAACATGAATATTTGCATTAAAACATTTTTGTGACTGTAAATATATGTCTGCACCCAAGAGCTGCAAAAATAAAGGCTGGATAAGAACTTTTGTGTATATGATGTATAACTTTATAGCAACTCCAGCAAATTTCTAGGGTGCAGGATTCAATAACCAGCAATCATATGGAGATTGTAATACAATATTTAAAATGTAAGTATTAAAAAGATTTATCAACTATAAATAACAGATATAACCAATACACTTTAATTCAGGATACACCTATTAAATTAATACATAAGGCAAGACATTAGAACTTTTCTTTGAAGGAAATGCAACTTAAAATTTACTAATCTAGCAAAATTTTATAAAATTGTATAATTCTTTACATCACAGAATTATACTTCTTAGGTGAGACAAGAACTCTGTACCCAAGAAAACTATATGCACACCTTTTGAGTTTTATTTCGGTACTTCAAAAATTAGATTTGTTAGCAGGAAAATCTTAACATAGTCCTACCATCTTTTAAAAATAAAAATTTGTTAAACTTTTTAAAACTACAAAATTAAAAATATCAGTGAATTACATTTTTTCTTTTTTAAATTATTGTTTTAAAGTGAAATCTCACTATACGAAACAAGTAATTGCAGTGTGAACTTAAAACTTTCGAAACTATGATAAACAAAACTTTTATTTAACTCTACTTAACTTTTAACATAAAGAAATTCACTATCTTGAGTATACAGCACTAATTTTCAAAAAACTGCAAATGGAAATTTGATTCATGGGAAAACTATCTCAATAAAAATAAAGCTGATTAAAAGGAGATAGATAATAAGAATGCTACTGCATTTCCAATTTGACAATGGAGGAGAAGGAGCCATTACAGAAATAATATACATTAGTAGGAGTTTCTTAAAGTAGTTGATCATAAAATAAAAAACAAAAGATATATCCACTGAAGAAGAATTTTTTCAATATTTATATGATTAAGGAATGTATTGCTAAATTAGGCCATCAAAAGTTTGTGATGATAATAATTAAAAACTAATTATGCTTTAATTATAATTTATAGTGAAAAATTTAAACTCAACCAAAATAATCAATCAATAAACTCAACCAAAATAATCAATCAATAAACTCAACCAAAATAATCAATCGATAAACTCAACCAAAATCATTTTCATTTTATGTATATAAAAGTACTAAAAATTGACTTCTTAAAAAGAGAAAAAGATAATATTTTTATTTATATACCTATATAAGAAAGCAACCAGATGTTCATCTACAAAGCTTTGATTTTGCTGCTGCAGCAGAATTGTATATAAGTTACATTCACACTAAGTCACTACAAAATGTTGTGTAAATACCTGATTTTATATTTTAAACAACATGTATCCAAGAGAAGCTATGGATTCAGTAACATTAGGCTGAATTAAATAAGTTAATAAAATGAATTTAATAATTCTATAAAAATTTAAAAATTATAATTATTAATTTTCTAGACTGAATAAATAACATAAAATCATATGTGTTAATGTACTTAAAACTGACAAAAAAGATCAAAGTTTTTGCTACATTTTCTAGATAATAGGATCTGTGAAGGAATTTTACTCACATAAGAAAGGAAGTCAGAAACCTAAGCCAAATTTCAAAAATCACAACTTTTACATACTAAAGCAATATAACAATTATAGTTTTATGTATATTAAGAACTACATAGGCTATTACATAATCAAGACTGAAGTAGACATTATGATGTCCTTATTATGCATTATTTGACCCCAAAAATTGTTTTCATAACTGATTATGAAAATTAAGATATGAAAATAAGATAAATAATATAACAAACATTTCCTTTTACTTGCCTTGAACTGTAAGTTCTGCACTGCATGCAATTTTGCTTCCAGAACTTGTACTCGCAACACATGTATACAATCCAGCATCTTCTGGAGTAACATGTTGAAACATTAAAGCAAGACTATCTTGCTCTTCATTGAATATAACTTGAAATCTTTCATTTGCTTCAAAATATTGACCATCTTTAAACCTAGTTAAATATATATATATATATATAGCTTGACACTCAACTTTACCTACATAAGCGTCATCTATATAATTTGAAGAACACACTTACTTCTCTTTTACAACACTTTTGCAGACCCCAACACTCATATAGTAGGTAAGTTAGAATTAAAACTTACTATTACTTGCTTTAAGTATTTTTTAAAATTTTTTATGTAGTATCTAAGTATTTTCTAAATATGAAATTATATTTTTAAATATATATTTGTTTTTTTAAAATTGTGAATTGGTTCTTTTTGTTTCTTATTGGTTTATATGGATTATGTCTAGTTCTTTTTATTGTTATGCATATTCGTGTAGGGGAGGTTTCTGTAGACAAGGGTTTCTAAAATACATTGGTTTCTAGATTATTTTTTTATTTTTTTATAAAAAATTAATTTAAAAAAATTTAATTTTTAAAAAAAAGTTTAATTCTTGACTTTACTTGCTTGTTTCTCAAAAGACTTCATTAGTATTTTCCTTTTTGAACTTTAATTCTTAAATGTTAATTTCTAAGGGAACCACTTTATTGAAATTACTTTTGGTTTTGACTTTTACCCTTGCCTGCATTAATGACGAAACACGAATTGAATGATTGGAGAGTTAGGTTTGGAGGCAACTTCCCCTTGATAAGTCTTGTCTCCTGTCTACTCAACGGTCATTCACATATGCATTTTTTTTTAATGTTTAATTTAATTTTAATTTATTAAATTAGTAAATTTATTTTCATGGATAGATTTTGCACTTGATTTGCTTATGCTTCTGAATTTAAATGATATTGTAGATTAGTTCGAGTATTAAATCTTTTATATGTTTGCACATTTTTTTAAAAATTATTTTGGCTTTTTTCCTTTTTTTTTAGGATTTAAATTTGTTTTTTTACTTTTATACGTATTTGTTAAAAATTAAATTTAAAATTTGTTTAAATTTAAATTTAAATATATATATAGTGTCTTATCATTCATATATTATAAGCGTGCTACCCAATCCATTTTTAAGATTTACTTCATTACATAACAAAAATGATACATATATGAAAGTTAAATATAAAACATAAATATCCTTTTAATTAGGGGAGGGAGAAAAGATAAAACTAAAAAAATAAACAAAGCAGCAAAAACAAAAATAAAGCTGAATGTTTTACATTAAAAATTCTGATATGATTCTAATCCTTTTAACATGTGTAAAATGTTGCACAGACAAATGTTTAATTGAACTTGCGCTTATTCTGCTGCATATTGCAATGTTCATTTCAAATTTAAAACTGGTGAAATATTTTATCAAAAAACTAATAATTTTAAGCTGCATAATAATTTGCTCATCATAATTCTTAGATGCATTTTAAATAAAATCAAAAAATGTTACAAAATCCATAACCCATTGCACATAAAATTGACAAAACATCTAAGCATCTGAAATATACAAGTTTACTTTAGCACTTTGTGAATAAATTATTTTAAGAAATATTTTGAACATAACTGTTTCAACAGCAGCAGCCTTTGAAACAGGCAAAGAATGTTAAACAGACATGTGAAAGTAAACTGAAGTGAATGAATTATTATTTATTAAACATATCAAATCAAAGTATCATTCAAAACCATAAGGATGCAGAAACAAATGTAAGTTGATGTAGATGCTTAAACTAATGCTATCCAAACATCCGTTTACACCTTAATATTTCACCCAGAAGTCCTTTACACAATTCCCCTTTTACATACCATCAAAAATTCAATCATTTTATCTCCTATGAATCATAAAATCGGAAGTAAATAACATTTAGGTGAAAATTATCCTGAAAAAATTCACAGAAATTAAAATTTTTAAAATCACAAATCTAATGGGAAATGCATATTTCAAATTGATTTATTGAAACCAAAAATGTAGTATTAAAATTAATCCAGAACAGAAATACAGCATTTATATAAATTCATATGTCTCAGAAAACAATTTAAAAAAAAGAACAAGTTCGTCAAGCAGATCTAAATTATCTTTCACAATTTAATGATTATTGAATTTACCGCTCACTAGAAAAAACAGCAGACGAAATTGTTGGTAGTTCCATATAAATGTTAATGGTTTGTTATTAAAGGAATAGTTATATTGCGACATGATTATGTATGTGCAGCAATTGTTTCAGGTCGAAAAAATAAACTCTGAGAAAAAATTTACAGTTCTTGTAAGCGTAAATATTTTTAGCTTCTCGCTACATCAGTTTAGAAAATTATAAAACAAGATACAATGAGATATTGACTTCACTTCAACTCATAACTATTAACTCAGGAAGCCCAACCAATAGATTCTTTGGCCCAACTATAGTGTACTAGAAGATCTTCTAGAACACTATAGCCCAATAAAGAAATTAGATTGTGTAAACTAGTTTTTATTTACACTATCCAAGAAACTTAAATGTGTAAAGGATGAACATCCAAAAAATTGGAGCCATTTCCCATTTTATACATTTCTATGAAATGATCTGAAAACTTCCAGTTTCCTTGATTCAACTTCGCAGTTTACATAGTCCGATTTCTCAGACATTAGTTTTGTAATTAGGAAGTAACCTTTGTGTAAACCTTTATGGTTTACATTTTGGGTTCCATCTAAAACCTTTGTGTAAACCTTTATGGTTTACATTCGGGTTCCATCTAATACTCTATCAGAAATTTAGTTTTCTGAAAATAATTGAACTGTTTTAACTTAATCAAATTCAACACCTGTAATTAAAGTTATTGTTTGTACAGGTAACAGAACGAAAAAGATCGACAAAATAGCCGAATACTAGAAAGGTCTAAAATATGAAATGTTTCATCAGTAGCTGATTTATTAAGACACTTAATACTGGTAGTTTAATCAGGGTCTGAAAGCAGGTAAATAGACAGGTTCTGTACAGGACTTAGAAGAGAAGGGCTATCTCATAGAGCTTTTCCCCCTGAAGCAGAAAGTGAGAAGTGATGACGTACCCATGATGACACTGAGCGCGCAGATGCAATTCACAGCTTGAAAATTAGCGTTTTTGAACCAGCGTTTGAAATGAACTGTGTGTGAAAGATAGCTATAATTTGGAGGAGACAATGTTACTGCTTTATGCATTTTAGACTGAACAATTAAAAAAATTCAATAATACTTACTCAATTTTAAAATAATAGATAAAATGTGCTACTCTTTTAACGTAAAGTTCCGTGGGGTTTTCTTATTATTATTTGCAGGTTTTTTTTATTTAATACATGTTTATTTCTAATCATTTCTTTATTTGCATCTTACAGAGAGAATTTTTATACTGCTTCTAAGATAACTATAATAGCAGCTATTTAAATTTACTCAAAAAACAATTTTACATTGACATAGTTTTAAACATATATGACATATATGGCAACATTTCTGCTAACCTACGTTTGATTTTTTGCCTAATTGTAAATTTTACATTGTTATAATTCTCTTCTGATTCAATATCATAATAGATATTTTTAAAATAATTTTGTAATTTATACTTATATCTATATTACAATTAAATGAATGTATGTAAGATAGTTACCTTAATTTTGACAAAATAACTTTACTCAGAGTACCTAATACAGTTATTTAATTTTTCAAAAGTGTGAGTAAAGGAAGCAAGTCTTTTTATGCCAATTACTTTCATGCTTTATTCTATTATATTTTGTCTAGAATGCTAATCTAGCACAAAATCTAATCAATAATTAGTTACAAAGGATACAATAAGAATAACTTTAACATGTACTTAACAAAATTAGTTTGTTAAATACTTGTTATTCTTGTTGGTGCTATTTTGGTACTATTCATAATAACGAAGATATTATCGATTAACTCATAGAAGTCAGATGCTTTTTGATTTCCTGTGGGGTGGAGTATATCTTTTGCGGTACTTTTTGAAAATAATGTTTTCTCTGGAGCGACTTTTTGTCTCTCGTTTCCCTTGACCATTAAATAATTCGGTTTTAGTTTGTGACACAATTTGATTTCTTCTCAATCTCTATTTAAAATTTCTTTAATAATATCAAAATTTAAAACAGTTCCATCTTCTAAAACAAATCCTTTATCTAAAACGCGGTTTCTCAGTAATTTGAGGCAGAGCGCGAAATGAGACCTCTGATTAAAACAAACTGCACATTTTGAAAAGAACCAAGACCTTGGTCCAGTTTAGAGTCATAGCAGAGTTTTCAATCTATATGCATTTCGTCGAAACTGAGAACGCATATTTCTTCTACAGAATATAAATATTCGCCTCTGTCCTTCTTTAGAGTAAGAACATCACTTTGAATTCTTGGATTACACTAAAATTTAGCGCACCATTTCTTTAATTTGCTAGTACTAGGTAAAGATATTCCAATTTTTTTCTTAATTTTTTTCTTTCCAAAAATCATATCTTTAAGATGACAGAGCTCTTATTACAATGCAACGTGAAATATCTTCACTAGTCCACCCGATTTTTTCCTTCTTTTTCAGTAATACATTAATCTGCGTCTTTATAAAAATAGGCTTTAGACATTTTTTCAAATTCTCCGATTTGTGCTTCCCTCCCAAAAAAATTTCGCTATTTGAGATTTTAATTTCTGATACCAATTTCTGTCTAGATGTCGTCCATCTTCTTTGCCGCTGAACAAACATTCTAAAATTTTTTTTCTCTATTTTTTAATACTTTAATACAGTTTTCTAAGAATATTATTTTGTTCTTCAAATTATCAATGCATTCTTGTTTATCCTTAAACTTAGAGCATTCAGGAATATCTAAATTTTCATTTGTGAGTTTCAAAATCCTTAAAATTTGATTTATTATGGTCATCATCAATTTCGATTTATTATTGTCATCATAATTTACTTTCGGCACAGCATTCTATTTCAGCAGTTTCTTTTTGTGGCTATCCAAACAAGCGATTTTTCATATCATCTTCATAAAAACTGCATAGAAAATGTTCGCTGCAGATTTTCCGCTCTTCACATTAATAGAATCTTGTCTTTGACATCTGTGTATCC